ATATATGTATGTATAATATATATGTGTGTGCGTGTGTGTGGTGTGTGTTTATGCGTTTTGCGTGTCTATGAAAGCATACTCGCGCAGCACGATTTAAAGGAACAGCTCAGACAGTCCATAAATATTATTATGGCTCTGTCCTTTCGGAGATAGACTTTAAGCTCGGGGGTTCTGCCTCTTAAATAATCTAATAGTGTTGATAGGGGCGTTAAAACTATATCGTTTCGCCATTTTTTTGCGTAAAATGTTTTCTTCTAATTGTTATTTTCCCACTTCTGTGGTCCCAACATAGAAGGGGAGGGGAGTTGGGGGTAACATATTTATTACACAACAACGAAATTTTTATATTGACATGATGACTTCAGGGCTAGCTTGCACAGTGCCAAGTAAGCAAAGAGCTTTGAAAAAATTGAGCCCCAAGAGATGAAAGGAGTGGTTTGGTTTAGCTTTAGTAGAGTTTTTACGGCACTTGCAGCACAAATAAGCCATAATAATAGAAGTAAAAGTTCTGAAGATTAGAGGTGTTACAAAAGATTAACAAACAAAGAAAAGAATGAGGAGAGATAATAATGATGTTAATGTAATATTGATGTATTTGATAGGAAAGAAGGAGTAAACCACCTAGTAAGCGTTCGTTGGTATCCTGCTGGGTCATAATGTAGATAAATCGGGTTCGAATCCGCACCTGGGTGCTTTTTTGTAACTTCGAGACGAAACATTGAGACGTTTTGATAAAATAAGTTTTATGTCGTTGTTGTTGTTTTGTCGGTTGTTGTTTTTTAAAATATTTTTTATTTATATCTTCTGGCTGAAGAAATAATCAAGAACTGTACTACCTTCTTTGTTTTTCAACAATGATGATGATGATGATGATGATGATGATGATGATGATGATGATGATGATGATGATGATGATGATGATGATGATGATGATGATGATGATGATGAGCAAAAACCTCCGATTCGGAGATCCTCCATCGGGGACATCTTCAGTCCCGTCTGATCGATCGAGTCGCAAAAGTGATTGATTGCGTGAAATCTGAAACCTGTCTGTCATTCTCAAAGCCTGTGAAGTAGGATGCGCGCAGAGATGGAATTTACCGGTCCGATTCGTACAAAGTTAAAAAGTTAAAAGCGTCGTTCGCTCAATACATCACGACGACTAAATGGTATAGCCGAGGCGATACCGATATAATATAATATTATGCCCTTCGTGCAGCTCACGAGTTCTGAAGGGGTGTGGATGGAGGCCGCCAATGATTGGTTCTATTTATCGTTCTTGTCTATCCCTTATTTGTATTGTTTCCGTCTGTCTGTGTGGGTGGTTTAGGGGAGGGGGGGGCGTTAATGGGAAGTGCTATTTAATGTTCTTGTCTATCACTTTATTGTTTCTGTTTGTCTGTGTGGG